AAAGAAGCAGTCAATGGGCAGTGAGGGAAGAGAACACACCTGCACTAGTAGGCAGAGCACACAGGGGAGAACCCCAACCCCTCCCCAGGCCAAGGCCCCAGAGTTGCTGTGGATTCTGGAATTGTCTAGTTCCCACATCCATGAGCCTGGTCCTGCCACTGTTCTGATTCCTTCTGAGGCTATGTGGTTGCCTTTTCTAGTAAGCCTGTCATCACTGGAGGTCACTGAAGAAAACTGCTGGGTCTTCTGAGTTGAACAGATGGGCTGCATATCACCCAGGTCACCTTGCATAAACTTGCCCAGGACCAGGCTTGTGATGAGATCCAACAACTCAATACTCGAGGCCCATCCTGTGGTGGCTGAGGGCACATGGCCTGCACAGTACTGATGAAGGACAGGTGCATGTATGTTACCATGATCCAGGATACATGCCTGTGTGGAAGCCACTTCACCTCCAAAGGGAAGAGGGAGAGGGGATTGCTCTGACAAGGACAAAGGATGAACTTTGGCCATTTTGCAACCACATGTATTCTTTCTTTCCAATCAGATTGTAGTTGGTCCCAAGTCCAGAGACCACATGTACAACCTCTTGAAGATACTTGTGCCCTAGAAAGTATTTAATCACCTATTGGCATTTAGTGAGTGTGTGTGTTGGGGGGGGGTGGGTAGGGAGGAGGACATTAAGTTAAATACTGAGAACCGTGAGGAAGCTAATTCAGTGATGACCCTGAACTGGGTTGAAAAGCATTTTCAAAGAACTCATGTCTACCCAGGACCTCAGAATGTGACCTTATTTGGAAATAATCTCTTTGCAGATGTAATTAGGTTAAAATGAGATCCTATTGGATTGTATGGGTCCTAATTCAATGACTGGTGTCCTTATATGAAGAGAAAACAGAGACCTAGAGACAAACACATTGAGAAGACAGTCATGAAGACAGGCAGAAATTGGAGTGATGGAGCTATAAGCCATGAATGCCAAGCACTGCTGGCAACCTCTGGAAGCCAGGAGAGAAATAAGGAAGATTCTTTCCTAGAGCCTTCAGAGACAGCATGGGCCTGCCAACGTCTTAATTTTGGATTTCTTGCCTCCAGAACTGTGAAAGAATAAGTTTCTGTGGTTTTTAGCTACCCTGTTTGTAATGCTTTGTTATGGCAGGTCTAGGAAATGAATATATCCCCAACCAGTTTTTCCACTAGTGATGTAATAGTGTGGCCATCACTTTGGTGTGTTGATGAATCTGATGGGTGTGAGCTCAGAGATATAGCACTGCCCAAAACAAATAAGCAAAGGAAATGTCAGATGGTCTCTTCCACTTGGGAAATGATGGTGAAATAATCTAGTAAATGCTACCATTTTCATGTGTGGATGTTTTGTAGGTAAGCGCTCTGAGGTAAGAATTTCAAATGTAATGATATCAACCAAATGAAGAATCTGGCTGAGAGTGAATGCAGGGGAGCTGGCCTCTAGAAGGAGACCTCTTCTGGGTGCCCAGGTGTCCCTTCCTGGCAATGATAACTAAAGGGACAGGGCTGTATGCTTCTTGCACAAAGAGGCAGGAAACATCTGTATAAATGAATTAGCACAAAGCTTAGTCCAGAAATGAAAGGCAGAAGCTGTGGGACAGAGGGGCCCATGATTACAATGGCCAGAAGCAAAGGGGTTCCTTCCTTTCCCACCTGGTTAAGTACCCAAATCTGGGTCATTTAATGAGCATCTACCTGGTGCCAGGCATGGTGCTAGGTGCCTTAATTGTGATTTAATCCTTATTTACTCCTCACAGTCCCCTTGACATAGGTGGTGTAAGTGTGGAAGAAGCACAAGGCAATTCCAGTGAGTCATTAAGGCTATTTACTCAGCCTTATCTCTGCAGTCAAGGAAAGTGTGAAATAAAATAGAAAATAAAATATTTGACCTTAGCCCACAATAAACTTGCAATAAAAAGAATTTCTTTACTGAATAATATACATTTATTTCACTAAATAAAAATACTTCATTCAACCTTTACTATTCATTCTTGGAACTTGCTCCTGGCAAGTCAAGATTTAAAAGAATTCTAAATGCATCTGTTTTATGCATTGTATTGAACAGAGAGGAAACTTTTTTTTTAAGAGAGGGAAATTACATCTCAGTCTTCCACAAAACAAACTTTCTTAAAAAATTTTAAGTTTCCCGTGATTAAATTAAACCAAGAACTAACTGAATGTACACAACAGGGAGAAAATATAAATATCAGAAGGGCATTTTTCTAGTTGTTTTAATAATGACTTCATCCCATCAAGTTCAATTTATCTGCTTTACAAAACCAGGACAACACTGGATGTCAAGTAGAGAAGCTAAGAGGTTAAGTTCTGGATTCATCCCTACATACGACGTGTGATTGTAAACACCTTGTGATCCAGTTCTACAAAGCTGATACAAAGAATCTCAGAATCATGATATCTGAGTTGATAGTAGTTGAGTTGCTAGTAAACTTGAAACAGACCCAGATGAAGAATATGTTAAGAGGATGTCACCCTGGACAGGGAGTAGAGATCCAAAATGTAGTCCTCGCTAATGACTGAGTGATTTGGGGTAAGTTAACTCTTTTTTCCATGGAACAGTTCCTGAATCAAAAAGTTGAAAAGTCTAATGCCTGCTCTTCCATGATTCAATAGGATTAATTAGCTAATGTATTATGAGTAAAGCTAGTTAAAGTCTTAGTGAAAAAGAAACCATAAAGTATATGTCAAAGGTACAATTCTGAGGATACATAGGGAAAAAAAAGTTCTTTGCATATGGTGTAAAAAAAAAATCTCTAAAATTCTATGAACTTATTTGCATGAAAGCCAGCTTGGAATGAAATTAGATTGCTATTTACTCACATTTTGATCATTCTCTTCTCATGACTTCCTCCTCCAATGTTTCTTACACTCAGAACAATAGCTAGGAGTTTCCTGCCCTGTGTACAGTTTCCAGGACAATCTTTTGATTCAGGGAAATGGATATCTAGTAGGGGTGGCTGACATGTATTCAAAGATAAAAAGAAAAACAGATCTCCCAAATGATTAAACAAATTGCTCTCTTGACTTTCCTTAGACAAAGAGGGAAACAATTATCATCAAGAAAATAATCCTCTGTCCCACACACACTGTGGTTCATGAATACCTCTTAAATCATGCATCTGTAGTAAGTAGAGAGCATTCTGGAGTCCCAGGGGACAGTAACAGCATTGCTGCTCAGATCTCAGCAAACATTGTGGGGCTGTTTCTGAGACACTGGCCAGAGAAATACCAAGAGGGAGGGAAATAAAAAGATCACAGTTTTGTTCTGTTTTTTCTCCCCTAATTAATCTGCATGGTTTGATTTCTGACAAGGAAAGAAAAGGAAGGTCATTTCATCTACCCAGATGTCAATAAACAGTATGTTAAAACCAGGTGAAAAGGAAAAAAAGAGAAGAAAAGTATCCATGTGAAAGGTAATTCTCTGAATGCTTGATCCCTGTGTGGGAGACAGAATAATAGCCTCCCAAAGAAGTCCAGGTCTTAATTCCTAGAACCCGAGACTGTCAAATTATATAACAAATGAATTAAGATTGTTATTCAGCTGACTTCAAGATGGGGAGATTATCATGGATTAACTGGGAGAGTCCTTAAAAGTAGAAGAGAAGTAGAAGTGAATGTCTGAGCGATCCTACTGAGAAGAACTCAACCCACTGTAGCTGGCTTTGAAGATGGAGGAAGAGGCCTTGAGCCAAGGAATGTGGGCGGCCTTTGTAAACTGGAAAACGAGATTCTCTCCTAAAGCCTCCAAAAAGGAAGGCAGACACTTTGATTTTATCCTGGTGAGTCTGTGTTGTACTTCTGACTCCGGGAACTGTAAGATAGTAAGTTTGTACTATTTTAAGCCCCACCAAGTTTGGGGTAATTTATCATGACAACGATGGAAAATACACCTGAGTCAAAGTCCAGAGTACATCACAGTGAAAACCATCTGGATATCAGTTATGTCCCAGTCCCAGGAGGTCCTGCAGTGATTGAGGATGATTTGCCTGAAATGCCTGGGTCTGGTCTACTCAGAGTTAAGCCTAATGCCAGAATTGAGAAGGCTCAACCCTCCAGCACTCCCTCTTTTGGTATTTCTCCTTAAGCACTTGGATTAAAGGATGCACCTAATGTGTTTGTTGGGTCTCTTCTGGGATCTGTGATGTGAAATGGTACTAGGCTTCCACTTAGGGCCCATTTTTCAAAGCAATTTTCACGGAGAAAATATGAGTCAAGAAGGAAGCTCTTTTATTGATATATTGATAAAGTAGAATATCCTTGCTGTTTATTTTATGTCAATAGCTAATTGAATTAAAAAGAAGATTGTTGTCAAAGGGAATAAAAATAAACAAAAGCAAAAAAAAAAGATGAATTGGATCTGAGGATCTCATGTATGACTATAGTTGATAACATTATTGTATAATTGAAATTCGCCAAGAGATTAGAATTTAAATGTTTTGACCAATTAAAAAATAGTAAATATATGAGGAAATGTATATATTAACTTAACTCAGGGAGAATCCTTTCATAATATATATGTACATCAAATAATCATGTTGTACACTTTATGTATCTTACCATTTTATTTGTTAATTATACCTTAATAAAGCTGGACTTAAGAAAAAAGGAAGGAAGATTTTTTAATCTTCTCATGGTGCCACAAGTGAGAAAATAAACTATTCCGTCAGTACTTTCCCTGTCCCTGTATGTTCTGGCTCCTGAGTTCCTGCTTCTTGCGGAGTGTGGGTCACTTTCAATGTTTAGGACCCCAAGGAACACAACTCCAGATTCCTAAAAACACTGAGGTGCTGCTTGGAATCTCATAGCATGGGTTTGCTGATGGATTTAGGCTACTTTGCCCAGAGTCAAATTCCTTGCCTATGATCATTTCTGTAACATTTCTACAGCATCTCCTAGCTTTGTAAGACTGTGCCTGCCTTCTGTTGCAACATTCCAACACCTGCTATGAAACATACCGGACATCCGGTGACAGCTGCCAGGTCCACGGCCAATTCACAGGACTTGATCAAATCCTCCATCATGGCCAAAGCTTGTTGTAGTTCAGCTGAAAAGGCTGACTCCTTGGTCCTCTTTGGTCCATTCTGTGGAAACCAAATGCCTTGTTGGAAATCAAAAGGTAAACCATCTACCAAGGGAAGAAGGAAAACAGGACAGAGATAAGGAGCCATGGATTCAGCCAGCATGAAGTGACTGAGAAGGTGGCTACATCAACCTGTTTCCCTGCTCCCAGAGAATGGTGACTAAGGGTATTTGTTGGTTTAACTACATGATATATAGATATACAAGCAAAATCATTCACTGCACCTTCTACACATTGAACTAGTGAAGAAAGAAGTTCATGAAACCTTGGACATTACATTCCAGCTCTATAAGAAACATCCTTAAACTAACCATATTTCAATAAAAATATATTTTTTAAAAAAGGGAAAAGAAACACCATGAGCTTTTTTAAAGCATGAAAAACCCAGCCCTTTAAATAGGCTGCTCTCCCTTTTACTTGCCTGTCCCTGGGGCCTGTTGAAAAGTACAGTCTGAGTATTATATTCCTATATTTCATGTGGCAGTCTTATTCCCATGGGTAAAATTATACTTAAAACCATCCCCCAGAGGAGGATATTTGTAAGCTATAGAGGCAAAGAGTGGGCTGCCAACTGGAGGTTTACTCATGATTTACATGTAAACACCATCATGGTGGCACTGGCCTCATAGAATCTCCCCTAGCTCTGTGCTTTCTCCTTCCTCTTCTCCTCCAGGCCTCCCCATGTTCTGTCATCATTAAAGATGTCAAAGAGGTAACCCAATGTGGTCTGTACCTCTCAGACAGCATAAAGACCCAGCATTAAGTGGAAAAGCAGTGATGGCTAATTCAGGGGCCCAACGTTCCGATTATTACTACTGTGACACTTAGGACATGATAGGGATGGTTGTTTCAGCTCGAAAGTCTTTTGCTTTTAGGGTTTCTGTATTTTATTCCACTGCTATCTACATAGCATATTTATCTATTATCTGGTAAATGCAAACAAAAAGATTTTGGTTTTGTCCACTGTTTTTTAACCCATCAACTTCTACAACAAGGAACAGAGAGCCCTTTGCTGCCCTCCCCAGGATAGTCCCACGTCTTCTTGTCCTCTACAGCAAGGTGTAAGCAGAGGGTTGTGTATTTTCTTAATCTCTACTTAAACACTGAAGGTTAGCATCTTTGGGTCATGAGTGACCGGGCTGACGAACAGAGCAGAGAGTGCTGCTTCCACTAAACCATCTGCCATGGATTCTTACCTTCTCACTCATGGTAAATATGCTTCAGGTCCTGGTGAAAGACAATAGGCTCTCACCTGAGTTTATTGTAATGTCAATAAAGGATTAAAAGTTCTTACACCAGGCATCTTCCTCTTTACCAAACACTTGAAACCCTTCCTTTTAGAGACTCAACTGTTCCTGATCCTTCTCCTTCCCACTAACCTTCCTCCTACAAACCCAGCAGGTGGCTAGTTTTAAACTGTGTGATACAGGGCTCAGAAAAATTCTTAGAAACCTTATTAAACCCCGCAGGCTAGCTCCACTTGCTCCAGGCTATAAAGTTATTACCTGTGCCTTGAGCTTCTTATAATTTCAAGGCATCCCCACCACACATTCTGAGTCAGCATGCAAATGACTGCTTTTTGAGACACATACCTCAAGTTTTTCTTGTGAAAATCAGAATATTAAAATAGAAAATTAAAAACAGCCCACTTCCAGCCCAAATTTCTTCCCAACCTGGTGTGGCCAGCAATTCTTCCAAGGGAAGAAGCTGTCTTAGAATTCACACACACACACTTGGAGGGGAACAGGGCATAATGTATATAGATTAGATATACTAAGAAATACAAAGAAGTAAATATAAATCATTATAATCCTACCATGCAGAAAAACCACAGTAGAAATTTTTATATATTTACTTTCAGTCTTTTATGCATGCATTTTATAGCTTCACTTAATTTTGTATTCCTGTAAAACATTTTTATGTGGAAGGAAGAAAATATATTACCACTTCTACTACAAATCCCCACTGAAATTGCCTTTAAGTTTTTGTTTTTTTCTTGACTATGAATTATAGGATATATACTATTTTAGAAATTTCAGACAAAGATCATAAACAAAGAAAACAAGATTGCCATAAGTCCTCTCACCCATAGACAAATACCATTAGCAGTTAGTACATAAAACAGTATTTAATATCCAGTACCTTAACTGAACCTCCTTCTAGGTCACGTGGGTCCATCTCGAAATCCTCAGGAGACTCAAAATCCAGCAGATCCTGTATTAACCCAAAAGTTTTATTGAAAAATCAAAAAGTAGAATGTCAACTTAAGCTACTGTGCAAACAATCTCCAGCCAACACTAAACTAACTGAAGATGTATATAAATATGTCTTTCACAAGAGGGAAAGAACAAATGGTATATTCAGCACAGAGTTCTTTCCACAAACATAGAATCATATTGGACACACTATTGTGTAGTCTGCTTTTCTCAACAACATATCATCAACATTTTATCATGAAATTACATTTTTTAAAAGATAGTTTTAAATTGTGGCAGAGTGTGGCATCCTATAGATAAATCATGATTGATTAATCCCCCCTACTGTTAAACATTTAGGTTCAACAATTTTACTATTATTACAATAATTTTTATATATTTTTCTTAAGGATAAATTCCTAGAAATACGATTATTAATGTTAAGAGCTGTGATACATATTTCCAAGTTATTTAAGAAGGGCTGTGTCACCACCAGCCACATATGAAAGCTTGTTTCACTAACCTCTAGCCTACATGGAGTACTACCATTTAATAAAAAAGCTTTGTCAGTTGAATAAACAGAGCAATTCTGCCTTACTGCTATTTTAATTCGAATTTCTCAAATAACCAGTGACATAGAACTCTCAAAAAACGTTTGCTATTAGCATTTACCCTTTTGTAAACTGCCTATGTCCTTTGTTCATCTTTTTATTAATTTTGTTTTTATTTCAGCTTTATTGAGGTATAACTGACATAAAATTTTAGGTGTTTATAGTGTGTATTGTAGTGATTTGATACATATATACATTGTGAAAGGACTCCCCCTATCTAGTTAATTAACACAGCCACCACTTCAGACTTTTTTTTTTGATATGAACATTTAAGCACTACTCTCTTAGCAAATTTCAATTATATAATAGTCATCAATTATAATCATCATTTTTTTACATTAGATTCTTAGACCTTATTCATCTTATAGATGAAAGTTTACACCTTTTACCAACCTGTTCCTATTAATTCTTTTTAAAAACAGTGATCTATTTATGACATGAGTTGGACTAAACAGGAAATCAACATGATGACTTATTCTAGACCAGTCTTCTTACAATAAGCAAAACTTACTGTAAACAAATGTACCATTTTGCAAACCATGTTTATATTAAACAAAATCCAGGCAAGAAAAGTTCTCTACATTAAATTTGATAGTTTCCATACGTGGCTTAGCTTGTTAGACAGAAATTATGAGCTCAATGAAAGCAAGTTCTGTTGTCTTTTACTGCAACTATTTCTAATGTATGCTGACAAGTAATATACTAATATTGTTTAATCAACTTGCCTTGACTCATTAGACATTATGCACACTATGTACTCTTTGTCATGACTGTTAATTTGCATAATATCTCAGAAAAGATATTAAACATTTCATAGATATCACCTTTTTGTTTTTCATTATTAATTTCTAAATGCCTATTATTAAGCATGCTGACATTTGTCACATATCTTACTAATACATTTCCCCCAATTTTTCATGTGTCTGTTTTTAATGGTATAATCTATCATTCCTTTCCCTTTCTCTTAAACCTAGAAAAGCTTTCCCACTCCAGGATCCTGTGATCCACTCTAAGGCACGGGGCAATTGGTCCAACATTCAGGCTCTCTCACTGCAGAATGAGCTCTGTCCCTCAGGGCAGAGAAAATAACCAAATTCTTCCTCTCTCCACAAGCATGCCAATGGTTCAAACTTGTTTTTCCAGAAACAAAGTGAGCTTAACAATGGGAAAAACTAATCTGTTTTGAGTAGTCTCCCATGGTTTCCCACAGACCCCCAAGGAATATTTTACAGTGATTCTGTCTCGTTTCCTCAGTGAAATGAAGCCAACCAAACCTTCTAAGTATTTTTAACACATGTGACCTCATTTAATGCTCCCAAAAAGCACACCAGGAGAGTATTATTACTACCTTCCTGTTACAGATGAGGAACCTGAGGCAGAGAGGGGTTAAGCAATTTGCCTGAGTTCAGGCAGCCAGCTGGAAGCGTCAGAGCCCGGGTCCACACCCAGGATGTCTAACTCCTGAGTCTGTGTTTCCAATCACAATGACCTACAGCCCTCTACGTAAGGTACGGACGTACCTACTGCGTCAGCATCACTTCTGTGGGAAAGCCCGAGCCTTCCGTACCGGGTGCACCCAGGCCCAGGGTG